ATAAATTATCATTAAAGTTGTTGCGACATTTGTGGGATTGATAGTTGGACCCGCTTGTTTAAATTGGATCAATCCAATGGTAAAAATTATATTTTATTTAGTACCGCTGTTATTATGATAATTTGTATTAAAATAAAAAAAATGATTAATATTGAAGCATTGGGAAAATAAAGATCAAGTAACTGAAGAGTTGACTAGAATTGTTCTTGCAATTCAGGTAAATGAAATAATGATTTCAAAAATGAAAAGACAAAATCTTTATTCTTACTTCAATTTATTATAATAAATAGGTTATGGCAGCTGGAATAAATTTACCGAGGTGATTGATCTATCTACTATTTTTCTTTTATTCTTCCTCCCACACATAAATCATTTTTCTAAAATACTTAAAATGTTATATAAAATAGAGCTTATATTACACGTCAATTCACTCTATCTACTATTTTTCTTTTATTCTTCCTCCCACACATAAATCATTTTTCTAAAATACTTAAAATGTTATATAAAATAGAGCTTATATTACACGTCAATTCACTTCAATGGCAATCATGTTGTTACCAGTTATGATATGGATGTGGATTACAAGTGCCGTTATAATTTATCATTTCATCTCAGAATTGACTTTTGTAAGTTTTATTTAAATTTAAATTGAATAATAATATACTTTGAAAAAAAGTAATTAATTGCCATTGCCGTTGCAGTTAGAAAGTTTGTTAATAGCTTCTTGTATAACACCAACTGATCCAGTAAGTTGATACGAAATTATTGAACAATCTTATTAGTGCCTTTTAAAACTTTATTATTGTATCAACACTATTATAGATTCTTGCCAACTCTGTTGTACAAGGCTCATTTGCTGAGAAATACATTCCAAGCAATGTTCGTCATTTATTATCTGCTGAAAGTGGGGCTAATGATGGTAAGACTAATAAAATAAAGAATGTGCAAAAAAAAAAATAAAACTTGAACTATCCACAAAAAAAAACTATTATTATTATTAGGAATGGGATTTCCATTTATGTTTTTGGCATTATACCTATTACAAAAATCAAATACTACTGGTTCTGCAATATCACAATGGATATATTTTGTTTGGGGATATCATATATTATTCTCTATTGTAATTGGAATTATAATTGGATGGGGCGCAAAAAAATTATTAGAAATAGCTGGATCAAAGTAACTTTAGAATTTATTCTGTTTATTTATAAACAATTTAAGATTTATTAATTCATATGGTTTTGGTTTTTTAGAAATTGGATTGATAAAGAGTCATTCCTAGTTTTTGCTATTGCACTCGCAGTAAGTTTTTATTAGAACTCTGATAATAATAATAGTAATAATAATAATAATAATAATTATAACTAAATGAATATGGTTGTTTATTTAAAATTTTGAATCATAAAGATATTTGTTGTAGGTGGTGTTAGTATACTTGGCTCAGATGCTTTACTGTCCTGTTTTACGGCTGGATCTATATTGGCTTGGGAGTAAGTATTTATATTGATATTGAATCTAAAACCAAATCAAATCAAGAAATTTAATAATTAATTAAAAACCACCACACAAAAATATAAAATATTATTGTAGTGATTGGTTTCAACAAGAAACTCGTGATGCACATCTACAAGAAGTCATTGATTTACTTCTCACTCTTACAACTTTTACATATATCGGGATGATAGTTCCATGGTCAAGATTTAATTCAGACATACTTTCATTACAGAGACTCATACCAATTAGCATCTTGATTTTAATTTTTAGACGATTACCAATAGTTCTAACACTTAAAAAATTTATTCCAGCAATTCACACATTTAAAGAAGCAATGTTTGCTGGTTATTTCGGCCCAATAGGTGTTGGTGCGGTTTTTCTAGCTATGACAGTTAAAAATGAGGTTGAGAAAAGGGAAAATGATATGGATGCAAATATAGCAAATCGTACAAAAGATAATGTTTTTCCAATTGTTGCATTTATTGTTATTAGTTCGGTGGTAGTTCATGGTATCACAGTACCAATACTTAATATTGGATCAAGGATTGATATCGAACGACTTCCAACTATTGCTAGTATTAGTGATCAAGTTGCAAGACTACCAATTGTTGATTTTGTGGAAAGTTTATCTGTTGAACATGATGCTCAAGGAAGTGTACGTAAAAAAGAAAAAACAAGAGATGAAATTGTTAATTCGGATGAAGATGATGACAGTGATCATGATGATAATGGTGAATATGAAGAAGAAGAAGAACAACATGAAGAACATCATCAAAACCCACATTACGGAATAAGAATTGAAGAGGAGGAAGAAGGAATCGATGAAAGTGACAATAGTGTAAAAGATGAAATGAAGACCAATATTTTGATTGATCTTGGAAATGGTGACGATGAGGAAGTTGATAATCAATCACAATCTTCTAAAAACAAATTATCAAGCAGAAATTCTTCAGAATCAGTCGATAATATAAGTTCTGATTATAATAATAATAATCAAAATAATCAAAAGTAGTTATAATAGTAATATTTTATTAGTAAGTATTTTATTGAACAATTTATGAATATATATACAAATATCATATTTTAGTAATATAATAATATAATAGCAATCTGAAAATTTAATAAAAAAAGTTTATGGTAATTATTATCTCATATTTACATTTATTTTTGATATTTTAAGTTACAAGCATCTAATTAATTTAAACAAAATTAATTAGTGTAAGGAAAAAAAGAAAATTTAGGCGTTATGAAAATGATTGCGTTGCATAAGAGTATTAACTTGACTTTTAATGTTAGTGTTAAGTTAATATTAATAGCTCTCAAAAATTTTTAATGGTGCGAAGATTTATTCTATAATGGACCATTTGGTTTAGTATTATAATTAGGAAAAATGTTTGTTATAGAGAGAATCCGTTATAGACGGAATAATTTACATATTAATATTAATATAGGACTTAAATTGGGCTTAAATTCTCAGTACATTATAGAACAAAATCCATTACTATTATTATCACATCATCATTTTCATTATCATCATTATCTTTCAGCTCAATTGGTGTTGTCAAAAAATTTTAACATTTTTAAAGGCACCTTTTTGTAAAATCCATACTATGAATGTATTCCAAATCTTTGTAGTGTCATCAATTAATTTTTGTAGAGCATTATTTTTAATTGGTGAAATAGGGGATTAATGAATTAATTTTTATTAGCAATACTTTTGTTTTAAGAATCAAATTTTATTATTTTTTGTACCATAATGATGAAAAATAACAATGCCAGAAAATTTTTTTTTTTAATATCGTTATTAAATATTGCAAAGTTATTTTTACAGTGGGTCAGATTCAAGTTTTTTATATACATGTTCATTAATTAGTAGCCATATTGGCTCTATCATCACGAATTTTTACTAAATAATGATATGGCTAAATAAATAATAACGATATTACGAATTAATCAATAATTTTCAGTTAAACTAGTTACTGAAGATTTTTATAATTAAAAATTTTTTGCATGAGCTTAAATTAGATGGAAAAGATATACTGTGTATATAAATATGTAATGTATAAATAAATAAAATACTTGAAAAAAAAATTATAATAATCAAGTAAATCTAAATATTCATATCCATTAGATGGGAAGCTATAATGATGATAATTTATAACATAGTAATGTTAATGTTGATATTGATATTGAATTTTAAAATTGATAATCAAATAATTAATAATAATTACCATCATTATTACCAATAATCGTTACTTTATTGGAATTCACAGGTTGGGGAAGGTTTGTAAAATTTAATAATCTGCTAGTATAAACTGCATTTGGGTGAATTACTGTAGTAATTGTTGAAGGATCAAATTTTATTTCATCCATTTCATGAAACATTTTTTTAATTGATTCATATTTATCATTTTCATCCAAATCATATTGACATGAATCTCTCCAAATACTAATAATCTTATGAATTTCTTTAGCAGTTGGACGTTTATCTGGATCAGCATCCATGCATTTGAATGCTAATTCAATATAGAATTTTGGTGTATTGTTTGAGAATCCAGGTCTTGCACCATTACATATTTTTACTGCAAGATATTCATCATCTGCCAAATTATTAAATGGTTGTTGACCAGTTGATACTACAGACATCAGAATTCCAAAACTGTATATATCTGATGCTGTTGTATATGGTTTCTTTTTTAAAACTTCTGGTGCAATATATGGTAATACTCCACATATATCATTTTTGTCTGATGATGATGTTTGACTAGCTGGACATGATAATCCTAAGTCTGCAATATATGTGCTCAGTTGTTTTTGAAGAATATTACCACTATGAAGAATAATTTCTTTTTCATGAATATTTTTTAAACCATTAATAATCTTATAAAGAATATCAATTTTGTTTTCCCATTTTAAAATTTTAAAAACTTTAATTAAATAATTTTGAAGACTTCCATCTACCATATAATCCATTACAAATATATATTCTTTGGTAATTGGATCTTGTGTTAAACCATAAATATGAATTATATCATTTTTATCATGAAATTTCATATAATTTTTGAACTAAATAACAAATAAAATATTTAATTATAATAATAATAATTGCTAATATCTAAAAAATCAGAAAATAAATAGAAAAATAAAATAATTTACCTCATTAAGAAATTCATCAGAAATATTTTGTGAATTATGTAGTTTTTTTAATGCTACAGTCCTATCTTTTATAGTTCTTTCTTTATTAAATGAATATTTATCACCATTTAACCAAGTAGCTTTGGATATAGTTGCTAACCCACCTTCACCTATTTTTTTGATATTGTTAAATCATTATAAGGAATCCATTGAAGATAAGATTTATTATTATATCTTCTTGCTTTAAGTTGTGTACTTTTAATCAACTCATCTAATGTTTCATTGCCACTGGTCCATCCTTCAGTTAATAACTTTGGATCACATGATTGACACCATGCCCAAATAGTATTATATCTATTGCAGGTTGGACATTCCTGATAAATTTCTTTTCTTTTATCAGAATATTCATCATTTTGAGGACTTCCATCTTCCATGTAATACATTACAGAGATATATTCTTTTGTAATTGGGTCTTGTGTTAATCCATAAATATAAACTTTATCATGAAACTTTGTATAATTTTTGAACTAAAATAACAAATAAAATGCTTAATAATGTTTAAAAATCTGAAAATAAACAAAGAAATAAAATGATTTACCTCATTATGAAATTCATCAGAAATATTCTGTGAATTATGTAGTTTTTTTAATGCCACAGGCATATCTTTACTAGTTCTCTCCTTATCATCATTTACACTTTTATAACCATTTAACCAAGTAGCTTTAGATATAGTTTCAAACTCACCTTCACCTATCTTTTCAATATTTGTTAAATCATTATAAGGAATCCATTGAAGATGATTACTATAATGATATGTAGTTGCTTTAAGTTGTGTACTTTTAAACAACTCATCTAATGTTTCATTGCCACTAGTCCATCCTTCAGTTAATAACTTTGGATCACATGATTGACACCATGAATAATAAGTATTATATCTATTGCAGGTTGGACACTCCCATATTCTTCTTTTCTGTTATATGGATCTTCATAATCTTGAAGACTTCTATCTTTCATGTATTCCATTACAAAGATATATTCTTTTGTAGCTGGGTCTTGTGCTATCCCATAAATTTTATTTATAAATGATTTATAATAAAATGTAACATAATTTCTAAACTATATAAAAAAAATATATTGAATTTAAGAACAACAACATTTAAAAATCTGAAATAAACAGAAAAATAAAATAATTTACCTCATTAAGAAATTCATCAGAAATATTCTGTGAATTATGTAGTTTTTTTAGTGCTACAGTCCTATCTACACTAGTTCTTTCATAGTTATAATCTATACTTTTCTCACCATTTAACCAAGTAGCTTTGAATATAGTTGCAAACCCACCCTCACCTATCTTTTCAATATTTGTTAAATCATTATAAGGAATCCATTGAAGATACCAATTATTATCATACCCAGTTACTTTAAGTTGAGTACTTTTAATCAACTCATCTAATGTTTCATTGCCACTAGTCCATCCTTCAGTTAATAGCTTTGGATCACACGATTGACACCATGCCTTATAGGTATTATATCTATAACAAGTTGGACATTCCCCATAATTTTTGTTTCTTTTCTTTGAATATTCATCATTTTGAAGACTTCCATCTTCCATATAATGTATTACAGAGATATATTTTTTTGTAGTTGGATCTTGTGTTAACCCATAAATATAAACTTTGTCATGAAACTTTGTATAATTTTCAAGCTAAAATAACAAATAAAATATTTAATCACAACAATAATAATCAATATTTAAAAAATCCAAAAATAAATAAAAAAAATAAATAATTTACCTCATTATGAAATTCATTAGCAATATTTTGTGAATTATGTAGATTTTTTAATGCCACAGGCATATCCTTGCTAATTCTTTTGTTATCAACATTTACAGTTTTATAACCATTTAACCAAGTAGCTTTGGATATAGTTGCAAACCCACCTTCACCTATCTTTTCAATATTTATTAAATCATTATAAGGGATCCATTGAAGATGATTATTATAATGATATGTAGTTACTTTAAATTGCGTACTTTTAATCAACTCATCTAATGTTTCATTGCCACTAGTCCATCCTTCAGTTAATAACTTTGGATCACATGATTGACACCATGAATAATGAGTATTATATCTTTTGCATGTTGGACATTCCTCATAATATTTGTCTCTTTTATTAGAATATTCATCATATTCATCAGTAGAAGTATCGTCATGATGTTTATTTTCATCCAAAATGTTTTCCATTGTGTAAAAAAAATTTTTTTTTTAAAGAACTTTTTTTTTTTTTCAGCCACAAATATGTATCACAAAAAATATATTAATTAATACATCTAAAAAAAAATTAAAATCTTACCTGAACTACAACAATTCAGCATTGACACCCTAAAGTTGTAAAACTGTAATAATATTGCAAGCATGCAATCAGAGTTATTGGAGTCACCAAATCTGACAACTATACTGCTTGGTTAGGGTTTCTATTTGAATAAGGGTTTATTCAAATTATTTGTTTTACTTGTTATGAATTTGAGTATTTGAATTACATTGGAAGTTTATTTGAATAAAATGAATAATGAATAATTCAATAATTTGATAATTCAAATAAAACAAATGAACGAATAATTCAAATAAACAAATAACAAATAAAATAAATAATTCAATTGATAATTTAAATAAAACAAATAAATGAATAATAATAATTCGAATGATTCGAATAATTTGAATAAAACAAATAAACAAATAGTTCGAATAAAAATTCGAATAATAAAATGAATAATTCAAGCAAAACAAATATTTGAATAAACGAATGATGATGTTAATTCGGATGTCAATTCGAATGATAAACGATAAACGAATGATGTCAATTCAAATAATAATAATAAACAAACGATGCCAATTCAAATAATAATAATAAACAAATGATGTCAATTCGAACAATAATAATAAACAAATGATGTCAATTCGAATAATAATAATAAACGAATGATGATAATTCGAATAATAATAATAATAAACAAATGATACAATTCGAATGATAAACGAATGATGTCAATTCGAATAATAACAAACAAATTATACAATTCGAATAATAAAGAATGATGTCAATTTGAATAATAAAGAATGATGTCAATTCGAATAATAAACAAATGATACAATTCGAATAATAAACAAATGATAATAACAATTCGAATAATAAACGAATGATACAATTCGAATGATAAACGAATGATAATAACAATTTGAATGATAAACGAATTGTGATAACATTTCAAACAAAATGAACGATTTGAATAATTCGAACAAAAATTTTATTACGAATAGAAACTCAACTCTATTGCAGAGTCACTAAACCTGGCACAATAATGTTCAAACTAAACTAAAATATACAACTACACTACTTGAGGCGTCCCTACTAGCAATATAGTAAAACTAATAAAGGGTTCCTAACTAATAATTAAATGTTGGCCAAACCATTAATCATCAGAAAGGGTTATGAATCAATCAATCATGCCAGATTTATCAATTAATGAAAAGTGTTATTATTGAAAGATCAATTGTTTTTTAAATTTTTCACTGAAGGAAATTTCAAGCATATTTATACTTCTTGAGGTATTACAAATAACATGATTTTGTCCAATAAAATAAAATAAAATAAAATAGAATGATAAATGATGACTAATTGACAATTACTAAAATTAAATGTCAAAAATGAGTCATTGGTGATGTCATGATTAAATGATACCTGATGAAATGTTTTTGTCATAATTAACAAGATTAAAATTTCAGATGTAAAGTAAGCACAAGTTACATCAAAAAAAAATTTTTTTTTTAATCAATTAATTCATTTGTTAATAATATTAATTAATGATATTTTTTAGTGTAAAAAATTTAATCTTCTGTATTCAGTTACAACATCTTTATTCACCTTCAGGCAATCAGGAGCCCTGCTCATCACTACATATTTTCATCAATTGTTAGAGTCGCATGTAGCAATGTCACACCTTGTGTCTTGTGAGTTGTCAAGACAAATGCATTCTGCAATGGGAATTGGCATGTGTACTATTTATTTTCAAAATTTATAGTGATTTTTTGAACATTCATTTTGATAATGTTGCCATTAGTTGGAAAAGTAATTTCTACATCATTATCATTTATAACTTTGGTGATCACACCTATTATTCTATTGCAGATGCCATGTTTAAACAGCTTATCAACGAACTCATGCTTTAATACTTTAATAGAACTTCCCATTATCATATAACATTATCTGTATCAAAAAAAATTATCAATCATAAATTTAGCCATAATTTAAAAGATATTGTTTATTGTTTAAAAAAAATAGATTCTGTTTGATAATTATAAATAAAATAATAATAATATTCAAATAACTTTAGTTGCGCAGCTGCATGACACTATGTAACAATTTAAAAAACGATTTTCAGATTTTGACGTATTTTTTTTTATTTTACTTGATAAAAAGTAATAATTTTGGTTGCGCGGCTGTGTAAACAATTGAAAACCCGTTTTTTTCGGATTTTGACGCATTTTTTTATTTTGCCAAATTACAATAAAAAGTAATAATTTTGATGTAACAATTGAAAAATGTTTTTCGGATTTTGTTTGAGGTTTATCAGTCCCGTAATTTTTTTTTATTTTACATAATAAAAAATGATAATTTTTTAATAATTCCTAGTCTGTTTTGTTCCAAGTATATATTACTCGAGAATTAACAATTGAAATAATCAAAATCTTTTTTATTATTACGAATCATCCCAATTTGAAAAATCATGTATTTTTCCGCAAATTTGCGCAGCATCATGAAAATATCCAATTTTTTTTGGTGGGTTGGATGCGTGTTATCCTTGTTTAGAAATTGATTTGGCGATTTGCGGATGATTTTTGCGGAAAAATACATGATTATACAATTTGATAGATGATCAACAATCAACATATTTTTTATTCGACTATATAATGAATAGAGATGTGCCACGCACTGTGCGTGAGAATTTTTGAGTGCGCAGTGCGCGAATAGTTCTCATGTTGTACTATATAGCATGCATGTACAAGTTTCTCCGTATTAATACATTTGCAATAATTGCCAATTCAAACAAATTGTTAGGACAAAGTATTTTTAGTTAAGTTTTTGTAGGCATTAATTAATAAATATTTCTAGTTAAATAATATATATATAAATATGCTATTTGATTTTTTTAAAGACCAACATTATTGCGCATTCATGACAATTCTCTGTGTGCTATTACTATTACAGTGTGGATCATCTATACTCAAAAGTTAAAATTTTTGAAATATTATGTGATCCACACATCGGATTTTAAAAAACTTGCCACCATTCAACTCGGCTTTAAAAGGGGAGTCTATTAATCTAAAAAAAAATTTGTCTCAAATTTTCTTTTCATAGATTTTTTAAATTTGAAA